TGTGTGTGTGTGTGTGTGTGTGTGATTCATAAATATATACATCTGGGGTAATAATATAGATTTACAAGGGCATAGCTTATAGTTTGGTTCAAGACTTCGCTTTAAAGAATCAGAGTAACATGTTGAACTGTGTGGCATTTTTATCCAAAAGACTTAAATGATCGATAATAGGTAAATCAAGCCAAATTTTCTGTGCATTTATTAACGCAATATGTCACTACTATATCTCTACAGTTGCCCTACTAAAATATAGCTAGACCACTAAATGTATCCGCTTTAAGCTTCAGTCTTTTCAAGAGAACGACAAACAATCTTGCAAAAGTATTGGTTTGCCTTTATAAAGACAGCCTTTTGTCGTAAAAACAGTGTGACTTCGCAAAAGTAGTGTGCAAGCTTAAGGATGAAAACCAACATTTTCACATAAATCGAATTCAATGATTTTATAACGGTTTATCAGAACTTTCGGCCTCAAGACCGAAAGTAGAAAAAAACCTGTTTAAAGAATGATGTAAAGACAGTTTTATCATAGTAGGGAAAAGGAACTACAACAGTACTTTGCAACATACAAACATTTTGTCACCTGTTACGACATACCAAGTTTGTTACGTGCAGTGGGTGTATCTATCTGAATAGGACACGAGTGAGTGGAGAATTTTTTACGACAGTTCTGCTACACTATGATAGAAATTCATCTGGATCCGCTCCTATAGGTTACTCGGTTCTGCAGGCATATAAAAATCGTGCTGGTTTGACTTGAATACATGGACCAGAACTAAGATATTATTATTCATGTTGATCTGAAAATAGTGAACTCTTTACTCAATCAATAGGGTATCTTACAAAGTATCCACGATCTCTTTGTCCTTTGTACAGTCAAAGGGAAAATACTGGCAACAAATGATTTGACCAGTGAGGGCAGTTATGACAGTTGGAGAGAAGAATTTCATCACTGAACCACTTGTGTTGAGGAAAAAAGAAATATTTCCTCCCCTTCATATCGAATTAGGCTTGATGAAACAATTAGTGAAAACTCCGGACTGTGAGAGGGGGG